ATGAATAAAGAATAAGTTTTAAATATAATCTCTTGTTTGCTTTTGATTTAGTTTTCTGTGTGAATTCTATTTCAAATATCTTTATTTATATCTTGAATCTTCTGTGTGAATTTTTCTGATATAATATTATATCCAATTTTTCTTTGTGAATTATTTGGATATATTACATCACGTAACTAGAAAGATTACACTATTACTAATTTGTAAATAATTATTATCTATCTTATTTAGTATAAATTTTAAGAATAAATTTAAGATACTTCTTTATATTCTAGATATAATATAATATCAGAATCAATTATATAGATTTTGTAAAAACTTTTTTTGTATTATAATTAATATTTAGTATTAGTTTTATAAAAGTTATGTAAAAATTTTATACTATATTATGAATTAATTTCATATTGAGTATAAATTCCAGTTATATTCTGAAAATTACTGATTCTATAAAATGTTAGTCTTAAAATTCTAAAAAAACTTCTGTATTTAATATCAGTTTCATAATAATTTCTTCTTTTAAAAAAATATCTAAAAGTCTAAAATCACAGTTAGTATCAATTTCTTCTTATTTCTGAAATAATTTCTTATAATTTCAGATATTAAATATCAATTCTAATAAAATTCTGATAAACTTTTCTCATAAAAGAGTACTTATAATAATATAATAAAAATTATCAAAATAATTAAAAATTCTATGAAAATTTTTCTGAAATATAAATTGACAGAATAATAAAAATTAAATATATATTTCTTATATTAGTAAACTATCTATATTATAAAGAAAATATAATTTGATGAACTTTTATATATTGTAACTAAATTCTGAATAATATAAAGCAAAGAAAGTATATAGTAATCATCATAAAGATTCAGGATTTTTAAATTTATTTATCAATTATATGATAAAGAATGAATAGAATTTCATGAAAATTTACAAATATATGTTTTTTAATATGAAAAAAAGTTACTTAAGACATATTGATATAATATCTCAATAAAAATATTATTAACTTATAAAAAACTAAAAAAATTATAAATGTAACTAACTTTATATCTTTATTGATTATTTAATGAAAAAGTATCCAAATTTATAAACATATTTGTAATATAATGAACAACTTCACCTATAATAAAATAATAATATTGTGTTTAATAATATAAGTTCAATGCTTTGCTGGATCTGACTTAATTTTTTTTAAAATAAATTTTATTGAGGAAAAGTATAATAATAACTGTAATTTTGTAAAATATTGCAAATTTGATTTACAGAGTGCAAAGAAGATGTGTCTAAATTATCATGCAATTTTGACAATTTTATGCACTATTTATTAAAAAATAGCAGTAACTAATCGAGATACTTTCAATGCAATTTGTAGAATGGACAATGAAACAATAAATCAAATTAGGCGCAGTCACAATTTTTCTTTAAAAAACGAAATTTATTTCTTTTGCATTAAATTAAGAAATATCAAATCTCTTAAAAATACAGAATAAATAAAATCTTAAGTGGTCAAAAATTTCTATTTTTTCAATTAAAAGAAATCATTTAAATTTACTATACATAAAATAGTTCAATAAATTTTCCGTAATACCAGCCGCGAACGCAAAATGAACATTAGTCGACGGATGATAATCATCAACATAAAAAATACCAGTCTGTTGCGAATTTCGTCGATGACTATAAGTACGCTTATGTCCACACGTTCCCTTCACGCTCACACACATTTTCGCGCAATTATCATATTCTTCCTTCTCCTCCTTACTATACATTACCCGACGAAACTTTGATTCGACCGTTCGGTAATAATTATAAAATTGATCGGCTGCAAAAGTATGAACCACGATATCCGGACAATCATGTTGGAAGTTCCGGATGGCATTCTGCAACGCGTCATTGTGTTTCCGAACGCCAGTTTTTAAGCGCGCGATATATTCGACATTTTTCGTTCGAAATACAGGGTAATATGAGAAATCAGGCATATTCGGTATTAGGAAATTTCGGATCCCATTTTCGTAGAGTTTTTTCCAGGATAGTGTCATCCGTGCGACTACTTTTTTGGGGTTTGCGGTGTAGTTCGTGAAAGCATAATCGTTGAATACTAGCCATGTCTAATGAGAATATTGGATTACATGTATGGTTAAATTTTTTGTTATTAAAAATTCCAAAAAAATGATTTATGACTTGCCACCACGAGCGTATTAGCGAAATGCGCTTTAGAAGGGAAATCTTGTAGGAATTGTGAGACTTGTTGCAGCATCCCAGGAACAAGAAGTTCACATTTTTTTCCTGAATAGCCTATATGATAAAATGAAGACAAAAGTTAGCCTCAGCATTTTATATAATTCCGAAATAAAGATATTTAGATTCCGAATCACCTTTAATCGACCGATTACTAATGTATGCAATAAGAATAGAAACACTTTATTAGAATAAAAGTTCCATGAATAAAAGTTAGTAGGAATATTAACTTCAACATACTCCGTTGTTGCTCCTCCGTGCGCATAATCGACTAATTCTAAATTAAGATCTTTAGCTACATATTCTGACCAAACGGGTCCATCTGAGAATCGACCCTTGTGGAGGTGTGGTGGTGGCCATTCTCCGTCCGATAATTTGTATACATTTCCCGTATCTATTTAAAAATGAATTGGTTGATAATGCGAGTAAAATATAAAGTCATGGAAGTGTAAGAGTTGCTTACCGGAATATGAGTCACCAAATACAACGATTCTTTTATAAAAATTTTGTGAAAAAGTGAGAGGCATTGTCTATCTCCGATAGAATTCGATGAATGGATGAATGAATGAATGAATGAATGAATGTTCTATCTACGATAGATTACAATGAATGAATGTATAAGTTTGTTGTTTTTTTAAAAAAGTAAATCAAATGAATTAATGTAATAATGAAAAACATTTCTATTCTGTTTCTCTTTATATTTCTTTTTAACTTTGTCTAACATACTTGAACTAAAACATAACTGCAGCAAACAAATAGCGATCAATTTTGTTAGTACAAGTAATTTGTATCATTTTCAAAAGTTTCGAAAAAGAAACAACAATAACAAGTCTAATTCGAAGCATTATTAGGAACCTGCATAATAACAACGCGGATTAATGACGTACTATACATTTGATGTATCAATCACTCTTGAGTTAATGTTCAACATCCCCTGCCATGCCGATATTTTTATTCCTTAAATTGAACATTGAATAAAAGTATTTTTAAAAAACAGATGAAAGAAAGTCTTACAAATTCATTCTTTTTTAATTGGTTTATCAATTAATTTCTAGAAATCTGATCTATACCGAAACGTCGTCGCTTTGTAATTTCATGTACATGTAGTATTAATGTTAATCAAATGTTTCGCAACAGTTTAATTTTACACAACACATTTATATTTATCTTTAATTACGTCAGAAAACCCATACTCCTTCCGAATTGATCGTGGTGGATTTAACGAAAAATAAAAAAAGAAAAAAATATTCACCAACGATATTATTATTTTTATATTATAACGATAAGTAGAACTTACATCGTCCGATTAACCGCACACTTTATTTGGAACATTTTTACACCGTTTGGACCAGGACCATTTTGTATAGTATTCTGTCCATTTGTAAGAATAGAATAGTATTTGGTATAGCTTTTAGTTCATTGCTCCAAAACACAAGCCAAAACATATACCGAAACATGTACTCAAAATCAATGTATATATATCTTGAGCCTTAATCAAGATAAAGTCAAATTATAATAAAGCTCAAAGTAATTGAAACAGCATTACCTCTTGCTTATATTATCGACTTCGATTTTACCATGAGAAAACCAGTGTTTTATTATTTGATTCTTGGTTAACCGTGTTAAAAATTTCGATCGATATTTATCTCGTGACTTTGGGAAACTTCTCGTCGACTTATTGTTAAATTATACATAGTCTCATTTATTTGCACATAATCATCCTTTATCCTTTCAAATCATTCCCTCATATTATATTAAAGCATTCACCTTAGTATCAACTAGAGAGACTCTCCTATATCGACGAACTTCAGTCTAATCTCCTTCAGTGTGTTGACGTCATCCATCTTTGAAACCAAATAGAAAGGATACATCATATTATACAGTATGTACCATTGCAATGTTGTTAAAATGCATATATAACAAAACATGTTGATTATTTAATTACAATGGCGGATCACATCATTGATTTTACTAAATAACTACTTCGATAATATCTCAAAAAGCTCTGTACACCTGGTTAATAGTTCCGATTTAATGTTATATATAATTAAAGATCACATGAATTTTCAGCTTCAGCCGCCACAAATTATTATTATGTCCTATATTTTACGTCAACTCTTAAGTAGATTTTTGTTTAGGATATTATGGATTTATTAATAATTTAGACTTTTCTAATTTCCTAATTTTCTACAATCATTAAATCTATAGTCTTGTATAAAGTTAAAAGCATTGTTTTTCAAAATTGTAACTAAATTTCAAACCATAAAAGGGAGTTCCAGTGCAATTCGTGTATATTTTTATTCGTTATAAAAGTTACGCGCGCCTATGTTGAATTAAGTCTATCTTGAGTATTGTAATAAAAATTCATTTTATTCAAGTTTATGTAATCATTGAAAAACAATTTGTGAGAAATCGAAGAAATCAAAAAAATTCGTTTAAAAAATCTCGAACTTAAAGAAAAATAATGCTTACAGAAAGAACATGAAAGATTTCTTCAGCCATTTTAAGCAATCTCATCCAATAAAGTTAAAAAGATATACCAAACAAAATGTTTCGAGCAAAATTCGTACGAGTCTTATATTCGATGATGAATATCTACTTCAGTCAAAGGAACTCATTACAGTTTTATTAAAAAACTGAAATCTTTTTTATCCTGCAAATGAATAATGCTACGTAATTCATTGTTAATGCTTGTATGGTTCATTGGAAAAATATGTTACTAAAAATAGTTACAACTGAAAGTTTTCCGAGTAATATTGTTGTTTCTCAATATTTACATCTTTCAAGGATGTATTAATGTAATATAAAAAACCGTTCATTAGAATACAATGCGTTACTTCTAATAGGATAAGGAAAGATTACTAATATAAGTATGTGTTGCTTATATGCTATACATTGTCGAACCCACTGGTCGAACAAGATTAGTGTGGAAATTCAATTTTTGAAAAATTTTAGTATTGGATTTTGAAAGATAAGCTCAGATGTCAAGTTTACCATGTCAAGATTACGGTAAAATATTTTTGTTATGGTTATACATACTGCAATTTGAAATCAATGAGTATGTGTATATTGAGTGTCACTCGGTTTTGGGCACAAAAATTTTGAATCGGCAATCTAAAAATGATTGGCTAACCGAAATTTTCACGTGACTATAGTGTTCTCTGATTGGTTAAAATACGAGCAAAAATATATAATGGATAATTTAATATTTCACAAACTGACTGTCCGAGTACCAGTTATATCATAAAGTTTGGTGAATTTCAAATTTAAAATCGGAAAATGGTTCTTAAGTTGTACTGTCAGGTATGGTATTTTATGTAATGTGCAAATTATTGTGTTGGATACTCTAATACGATTTCTTGAAATTTTGTTTATCGATATTTTTAGTGATAAAATAAAAATAATTTTTTTAAATAAAAAGAAATTGCAAGGATAGCATTATTTGCCATAACTGTTACATTATTAAGTCCTTGCTTGTATACAATTTATCAATGTGCTTAATATCATACGATCATATAACGATAAAGATAACTTGATGCATGTATGCCATATAAATAAAAAATAACTTTTTCTACACACGTGATATTTCCTTTCTCTTATTAATCTCTTTTTCTTTACAATAAATGTAAATTAATTTTCTCTTGTAAGGTTAGGTTCAGGGTCATAGTTGTATGCTTAATTATCTCCTCTACGTAAGTCATAAGCTTTTAATTTAGAACTGTTTAGAGTAATAAACTTCCTCCTCACGTGAGAAAAATTAATTGTGATAGATTAAATCTAAATAAAATTTTAAATAATTACTATATGTAATATATAAGAATTATATCGATAAAATTTAATTTTATTATATTTTTTTACATTCATCGCTATTTCCTTTGCTTTGAATTTTCGTCAAGTCTTCTTTTTTTTAGTTTTTTTTCTTGTATTTCATGACAAACACTCATATTATTATAAAATGTGATCGTTATTTGTGCAAATTTTTTGCTTTATTTACAAGTAAGCCTGAGCAGAAAGTGAAATTATATTATCTCGTTTAAATTTCAGGTAGTTTCATATGAAGAAATTACTTACAAAATCGACTGAAAACAGGTTCAAGAATGATGACAGCAAAAAAAGAGTTCGAGACTGCCTGAGGTCAAATTTATATTAAAAAAATGCAATTAATCAAGTTTATCAATGTTTTATAGGGAGTGCGCGCTATTTCGGGATGTCCATGGGCGTTATTTCGCGAAAATACGGTAACTTTTTTTGAAAATAATTAAATGATCAAACAAAAAGATTCAGTATACTTCTAGAAGAAATATTAAGAATATATATAAAATATAAATAAGATAATTAGAATAAAAATCCAGTAGTAGCTAAATTTATTTATAATAATAATAAACAAGCTTCTACTAAATATATACAGTATTATTTGAACTAGATTATAAACAGACATATTGCATATTAATTACTATTCACTTATCACAAAATAATATTATAATATCACAAGAATTCATGAAGTATTGAGATATATAATAAAGATTGCTAAAGATTTGCTATTAAAACACAAGATAGATAAATAAAATATACAAATCAATATAAAAGATATGAAGAGTTTCTATTAGAGATCAAGTTCTTTTCTTCATTTATAATATAGATAATTCTATAAATAAACAAAGAATAATCAAGAAACTCATATCAAAATTCATTGAATTCTTTTGAAATTATTAAAAAAATCTCTTCTATTATTTATAACTATAATAATTAAATAATATAAAAATATATTCAGTATTTTATACATTCTTATTGAAGAAATATAATTCAGATAATGAATTTAATAGATTAACACCATCATAATTCACTGTCATCATCTTAAATAATGAAAAAGAATATAAGATAGAAAATATTCTTGATAAAAGAATTTATTATTATAAATTATAATATCTTGTCAAATGGCTAGGTTATTTTCTTTATAATATCATCTAAGAATCTCTTAAGAATCTAAAAATATCATGAAAAATGTTAAAGTCTTTAAAAATTCATATACTTGAATATAATGAAAATATTATATTTTAAGCAGGAAAATATGTGATAATTTTGATTGAGTTATATTTATTTTAGCTTAAATCTTTATTTTGTATTATTTATATTACATTTATTAATTTGTATTACTTTTTATAAAGATCAATTCACACTAAATATACAGATAATTATTATGTATTTAATTAATTTAGATTAATACACATTATTATATAGATAATTGCTACATATTTCTTAATTATTAATTTAGATAATTAATATTTTTAATTAATATTCTTTAATTATTTTCTTTTATATTTTTATTTATTTCTTATTTGTTATTATTTATCATTATTATTCTTATTAATCTATTGAATTAACGTTAAGTATTTATTACTCTTCAAAAATGCAAATTAAGCTAATTAATTATGTAAAATCCATATATATTTTAGATTAATAATTTATTTGTATTTTGTATGATGCAAATGGCTTAGTCATATCCAATAATTTTCAGGAATTTTAAAATATAAAGAAATTTTATTCAATCATACAAAAATTAAAAAAAAATACGTAGTTTAATAGCTCTTGATATGATCTATAATGCAACTTATTTTTTTATTCATTTTATTATTAAAGTTTTCTTTTATATTAATTTTAATAATAGCAGGATTTTTAGCGCCAAATAAATCACTTGAAAATGATATTTATTAACTGGTATAAATCACATGATTACCTATTATTGGCTAATCGGAACTCATAAATGTGGCAAAGTAGATGTTGACGTCTACCGTGAAACAATTAGTTTCAAGTTTGTTTAATAGTCTGGACGCCAATGTCCACATTTTTGAATAATCATATGTCTTCGAATTCTTCTAAAATGGTTTCAGGAACTCAATGATGAGATCAATATCGCCTTACCTGAAATTCCAAGTTTGTAAGGAACTCGATGATGAGATTGATACCACTTAACTACAAAGACAGCCACCTTACCTGAAAGTCCCAAGTTCGTAAACAATTATACTATGATCACGTGTTAGAATTTTGGCCAATGAAATTCAATTTTAACATGGTAAAGATCAGCAGCGGTATTTCACCAATTTATTTTACTTTTTTTATGTTCCCACGCACAAACACGATAATTTCTTTCGCATTTGTTATTGTTAGTTTTACAATTATGTCATAACTATAATATAATATACACGAGTAATAAACTTTTACCGGATATTTATTTATACGGAACTATTTTATTCAAAACAATATAAATGAACTCACCCAGATCAGACGCTCACTAATTTCTTTGTTGTTATAAAAATGAAACTCACCACAACAGCCGTTCACTAATATCTTTAAACTCTATCGTTATATAAATAACAAGTAATCTTATACCTAAAATTTCTTCGACTACAAGACAAACAAAACAACAAAATACTTCATACATTTTCTTATTTTAATGCGATTTTTATATCTTAACGGTTTTATAACGTTACCACCTACCATTTCTACTGTCGCTAAGGTATGTATGTATGTTATGCGGTGTAGCATCAATATGTGAGAGACTCGGAAGATCTGGCCCTTCTATCCCCTCATGTGGCCGTTCGAGGTCAATAAATCGGCGTTGATGCGTGGTAGGCTGGCCATCTGTCACATGTCTTCGTCGGACTCTTACCAATAGAGGATAACTATGGTGCTTGCTCGGTGATGGCTCTTCTATCCCCTCATGTAGCCATTCGAAGAGTAAGGGTAAATCAGCGTTGGTGTGTGGTGGACTTGCCATCTGTCATATGTCTTCGTTGGACTCTAGGCTACCAGAGGATAACTGTAGAAACTCGTTTATTGGTGTTATCTGTTGAAGTATGTATGTACTAGTTATTTAATAGCTAATAACTTTTTTTGTGTGCTTCCATTAGACAACCTAAAGTTGCGAGTTACTATGACAAGATAGCATATTACTAACGGCGAGATCAATACTTGTACGGCAGTCGCATAGTTGATTCCGAATATTTGGTTCATTTTATGGAGAACAAACATGCTACTTTTTTCAAGGCTAAATATATTGTAAATGTAGTTGTTTTTCGCAATTAAGATAGAAATGAAATATTGTAGTGGTTGGCTCTAAAATTCACAATAAATGTTAATATTTCTCTACAAATCTGACTAGGGTAATTATGTTTCATGAGCGAAAAATAAAGTTTGATTTTTCATCATAAAATTTACTTTGGATTATATTATTCTCTTTTTGATAAATTAATTTATGACGTCTGTCACGGGTAAAGTATATATGGGTAGATTAGTAAATGTAACGTTTGGGGGATAATAATTAGACTTTGTGCTGATATCGTTCTATATGTGCGGTTCCAGAAAAAGAGTGTAAGTGAATAAGATGATTTGTGGGTATTGGAAGAGTTTCGGGATTATTTGATGAATTTATTTTGGAGAGAGAAAAGAGGGATATGTGTGATATATACGCTGTTAATTATGCTAATTCTAATCGATGTTTTTCTAGACAAAAGACTTAAACTCAATCAATTAGTTGACGTGTTACCTTTTCTGGATCAAAGGAAATAACCAATACGATGTTTTATCTGCCGTAAAGAACCTAACTAATTCGATATGATTATAAATAGGATTGTCACGATTACGACACCCTCATGAAGGGTTTTAAATATTTATTAATTGGAGAAACACTGTATGCCATCTTTAGCTATTTGAATAATATAATAAAGTGATGCAATAAAATAGTATAGCTATAGCATATAATATAATTACTGATTATTTTCAAATCAAGTATACAAGAACTTAATAATATTATAATTAAAGATATCATCTCAATTAATTGTGACTTGTAATAGCCAATCAAAGAATTATATTAATTGTGATAGTTAATCAAAAAATTACTTTTTTGGAGAAAACCTTTTGTAATTTTATTAATTTTTTATTATTGATGGCCCAAGAGCCATCTTTATAAACATTTTTGTTAATTTTATCAATTTGATTAAAAAAAATACTACTTTAGGCCAACATCCCAACCGACATCCAATATCCCAACAATCTAACTTCTCTTTAAACTTAATTCTTCCCAATATCCCGAAAAAGCTAGGTTAATTTCTGGAAATTGAGTTTTGGCGGGAAGTTGGATTCGGGGTGTTAGGTTATCGGGATTAGATTGTCGGGATGTTAGGCTGTCGGGAAGTTAGATTGTCGGTAGACCAATTAACGACATATGATTTCTATTATATCGATAAAAATGAAAAAACAACATAATAAAATAACATAATAAATATAACAAAAGAAAGTATTAAGCTGAGAGTCTGTAATATGCATTGGATCACTCTGAAAATGTACAATATCATGGGATCGATTGTGTGCAGCACTACGTTGAATATTACGGAATCTGAAAATGCTGTCATTAATTTCGAAGTAAACATTCGACTGGTGTTTGATGGAGGTGGATTTATTTATTTTTTTGATTTTATTCGTAGAATTTTTTATAAATGTTTTTTTTTTAGTTTATTTTCTTTCTAATATCAAATCAAAAATGATCAAATTGGTCTATTTTCAGGGAATAGTTTTTGGTATTTTTTTATAAATATTATATACAAGATAATTTCCATGAACCGTTCACCAAATGATTGTTCACAATTACAATTTCGTACATCAAAATTCCCAAAGCTATGAACCTCTGGACACATATAAGGAAGTACTTCACAAATTTCTTGATTGAATTTTCTATATTTGTTGGAATGTTTAATTCCTAATTCAGCTATATGTCAAGGGCAAAGTCACAATGGTGACGATCAAATAATTGTCTTCCCAAGTAATTTTCATAGTTGAATTAAAAATTCCACAGTTTGCTTCTCTTTCGTTTAAATTTATTTTCTTCATGATCACATTTGTAATCCAATGGTTTTATCGTTACTTCTGAAATGACTAAATAAAAAAGATACACTGAAATGTTATGTGTTCATTTAAATATAATTATATGAATAAATTTTTGATTTATATCTTGGAGATGTACAGTATAATAATATTGCGCTTGAATTGAAAATATTTATAGCAGCAATCTTTACGCATGTCGACCGACATGATAAAAAGTGAGAATGTTCATATTACAATGTAAATTGTCAATTTTAAAAACAATGAAAAGCGGGCCAGGCTTACAAATGATTATATCGATAGATATCAAAGAAATATTGGCATATGGGTTATGATATAACTAGAATTTTTTTAGTACATTTATGATTTAGGTATATAAATTAAAATTTTTGCATACATTATTGCCATTATTACTTGAAAATTTTCATTTAAGATTTACTTGTTTAATATTTTTATGGAAAACAACTTATATTTAATATATAATTTTAGATTTGAATTAATGCAGAGGAACGAAATCAAAATAAAAGATTAAATAGAAATAGACTTTCATACATGTTTATGGCTCGCTTACATAGAATGAATAAGAACTTTTAGCTACTTTTAAATACAATTTTAATGCTATTATGTGAAATAATAAAAAAATGGATCAATATTTGTGATATTAATCATGCGCCTTTTATTAATATAAAGAAGTATTTTCTGAAAATATAGCAATGCACTATACGTTATTAGGTCTAAAAACATATTTTATTGTATCAATCCAGTTGTTTTTTAAGTAAAAAAGAATTTATTGTACCTAAATTTGTATACTTTCTTTAGAAAAGAAAAATTCTAAGATAAAATATTTATACCTTTTAATATGCCTGTGCTTACACAAAAATGCCACATAATAATAGGTACTATACACATAGTGCGCATAGTACATATAGTAATGTACTATGCACGCATTTATCCATCTCTACATGTAATATATAAATCCGGAGAAAAAGTTATGTTACGTATTTATAATATTCCGTGAATCAGGAACATGGATATTAATTCAAAAAAATTTGGAAAACTTGGATTTTGGCCAGTATTAAAAAATTTAAGAAAATACACGCGACTTAATTCTGGATCTTGTCAGCATTAAAATTAAGAAATGCACATGACTTAACTTTGTATCTTGGCCAGTATTAAAAGAAGTTACTATAGAAAACATAAGTATATATTTATCTACCAAAAATTGGATAATTATTTTTTATTAGAATTAAGTATATCATATTAAGCATTTTTAATGATTCTTCACTTAAATTTGATGGTTATTTGCTAGAATATTATTAAAAGCTGATAATTGCACAAGAAAGAATAGATAACCAAATATAGTCAAAGGCTATATTACTTAAAAGAGAAAAATGAGATGTGACTTTTTTTCAAAAATATGAAGTTGATTATGAATTATTATAGTTAAATCTAAATTACAATAAATTATCCATTCTTGAACAAGTATAATTGAAGGATTAGATAATTCAGGAATATTGCTAGCATATTTTTGAATATAACAATTATTAATAGTTAATTGAGGAAAATGAGAATTAAAAATTTAGACAGCTTTAAAAGAGATCAAGAAGGATGTGAATAAAATGATATTAAATTTTTTTTATAACATCAAAAGCTGATCAAAAATCAGAATTCTAAGCAGAAGAATTTGAATTATATTTGAGAATTATTGAAGTAATATGCAGTCCAAAATTATTGGCAGAAATGCCATTTGAAATAAAAGTATCTAATTATTAAATGCGTTCTTCTATAAAAAAAAAAAAAAGAATTACATTCAACTTTAAAAAAAATTCAAATCAAAAATAAATTGCTAGAATAAATGTCAAGTACTGTAAATTTCAACATAAGCATTACTAGAGATGGGCAAATGCGCACATAGTTTATCACTATGCATACTATGTATACTATGCGCATAGTATGTATATGCGTATATATGTATAGTATACATGTAATATGAATAATGATCTACATATACATATATAGTAATCAATCAAATACATGATGACGCAAATTCATAAAAATTAATGATTTTTATTTTCTGTAACTATTATATACATTAATCAATAATTATCACTATCACTCAATATTTCTAATGTATCGTCACTATTATTTGATATATTAAATTGTTCATTATCATTACCATCCTGATATTCACTTTCATTATTATCCTAATATTCGCTTTCATCACTTTCATTTCCAGTATAATATTGATTGATACTTATTTCATCATTAATACTTTTTTTGACAATTTTTTTTTTGATTATCTGGAGGCGTTTATAATTTATAATTACTATAAATATAAACTAATTTAAAAATACGCTTACTACTTAACCGATTTCTTTTTTTGTTATAAATATTTGCAAAAGCTAACCAATTACATTCAGAAGCTGCAGATGATGTTGGAATTGTTAAGATACATCATGCTAATTGTGTTAATTTAGGTACTACTTGTGCAAAATTCGCAATTCACCAAGTAATTGGATCAATGTTATCAATACACTCCCATGCTAATGTATTACTGAAAAGATCTAATTTTGCTTTGTATTGTATAAGTTGACTTCCAATAATAATTTTATTATTAGGATAATAATTATTAATAAAAGTTAAGATTTCATTCATGCCATCATTTGGTAATCATCTTCCAAAAAATTGTGAATCCAATAAATGAGCAACTAGCATAATTGGATTATAAATTTTTTCCCATCTTGCAATTAATATTTCATCTATTTGTATTGATATTGATGAATTTGAAATAGCTAATAAAGTTATAAATATAATTATTAATCAATATTAATTTTAATATATTATAATAT